TCACGAGAGGTCAGCAGCCCTCCACCGCCCACTGGACTTGGTGAAAGGCATCACGAGAGGTCAGCAGCCCTCCACCGCCCACTGGACTTGGTGAAACTGGCAAAGAGAATTCACCGAAAACCCAAACCTGTTGCTGTCGAGTTGACTCTGACTGATGGTGACCCCATGTGTGTCAGAGTAGAACTGTTTCATAGGGTTTTCCATGGCTGTAATCTTACGGAAGTAGATTGCCAGGCCTTTCTTCCGCAGCACCAGTGCGTGGGTTTGAACAAACTGCCAACCCTTCCATTAGTGGTCAAACGCAAATCCTTCGTGCCACCCAGGGACCTAGGGGTCTCTACCGCCCCCTTGTCAGGTTTCCAAAGCCGGGCCTCACTAAGCCTTAGGCAAGGTCTTCATGAACGGAAGCTTTTGCTCCCGGTGCGGCCATCAGAGAAGTGTGGGCATGTGGCCCAGCTTTGTGTCACTGTAGCAGCCTCCCTTCTGATCCCAGGCCTCCCCCTCAGTCTGCCAGCGTGGGGTGGGGTCCTTTCTGAAAGGCACATCTAAGCACTGAAACGTCCCGCTCATTCACAGGATAAAGTCCCAGCTCCTTAGCCTGGCTTATGAAGCCCCTCATGACCTGTCTTCTGATGGCCTCTTCTGCTTTATTCACTCATTCATTCATTCATTCACTCATTCATTCATCAAAGCTGTATCTAGCAGCTTCTCCTCAGCTCCACCCTGTGCTTGGCGCCCCCCTTCATGTTCTGCTCCAGTAGCACCACTGCTCACAGGCGCATGGACTCAACATCTCATTACGTTTAAATTAAATGATTCACTGAGCCCCTGTTGTAGGAGAGGCACGTCTCCCCAGTAAACTGGGCAAAGAAAGGAAACAAACGTTCGTCTATGAAATCGCACTGCCTTGTCCCTGTCCTTTCATTTTTACCTAACCTCTCCGGGCCTCCGATTCCTCACTTGTGAAATGAAGAAGTTATTTTTTATCTCCGAGGACTAAATGGGATCATGTATGCTGAGGGCTTAGAACCGCACAGGGCTTATTGCAAATGCCCCCAAAATGCAACCTATTCACGACCATCCTCACCATTTCAATATTTAAACCCAGTTATTTGTTACACTGGAAAGACAGAAGCACAGGTTGAAAACCTCTTATTGAGCCGGCAATTTACTCAGCTTTCGAATGTCTGTCTCAGTGCGAGTCCCATTTCAAAAATGGAGAAACAGAGGCTCAGAGATGTAGGAAACTTGCAGAAGGTTTTACACAGCTGGCGCATGGGGGAGTCAGGATTCAAACATGTGGGTATTTAGAGGAACAAGAAGAATTAAAACCGAGGAATTCTGGTTTTTAAGTCCAGTACTTTTTCTACTGAGCCCCAAAAAGTTGATTCTCTTGCACCCATTCTAAGACATACCTGGGTATGTCCACTGTCCCTAGTACTCACTTCTGCTCTGAAGGTTAACTTATCCCAGGGATATACGGAAGCCATTGTACCGAACTTGTATACAGCAAGCGCTCACCAATGTCCCCCCTCTTCCCCCTGCATTAACTACCTGTGGTTTCCTTTTACCTAATTCGGGATATGGAGAGGTTGTATAACTGAATGTGCTGGATGATCTCGTCCAGCAGCCGGTCTGTCATGGTATCAAAATCTGCAAATGTGTCCATCTGGAGGCAGACAACAGAGAAAAGGTGAGGTGTGGGGTCACGGCAAAGGTTCTACTCTGTACACAAGCCGGTCTTCTTCATTCAACATCATGGAACATTCTGGGGCATGCCAAAGCCTGGTGTCAGGGCTACAGGTTGGGATTCAACATCAGGAAAGAGAGCCACGGACTGGGCTATAGTAAAGAAGCCTGGGGGTGTTGAAGACATGCCAGCTCCACGTTGTTCTCTGAGTTCTCATCTACTCTGACACTTCAGCACAGCCCACACTCCACCTACCTGGAAAGAGCAAACACCCACACATTACCCCTGACCACAAAGAGGGCATAGCCAAACTCTATGGGTTCCATAGATGCCAGTGATGGCCCCCTTCCCCAAGCAGGGCCCCAGGAGGCTCAAATCATGTATGCTCCAAGGTGCCATCCAACCTAATGCCCCATGAGGTCAGAAGGAAATCACCTGGCTCACATGACCCCACGTTTCTTTCTTCTTTTACAAATTTCTTCACCTGAGAAGGCCAGCAGCACAGGCTGACCCTCAAGCAATGCCAAAGCAATGGAAAGGGGCTCTTGAGCCACCCTCCCTCCACCCAGGGGCAGTCCAGGAAGTAAGCTGAAAGCAGAAGCCATTACCATTCTTTCTATAAATCTCAGGCCCAATGAACTCACAGTGGAGCAAAGAAAGGAAAGAGAGAAGCCCATTTCAGAAGTGTCAAAACACTGTGGCTGTGTCCATTATCGTTCAATTTCGTTTTTTTTTTTTTTCATGATCCCACTTTTTACTCTTCTCCACTCTCCTGAAATAAAGCAAGAAGTCTTTCCAAGTCTCCTTCCAAGTCCTTCCAGACCATCCAAGTACATGGGCAGTGCTGTGTGGACAGGTCCCTCACCTGCCCTCCCAATCTGTGTGTCCCTGTATCATCACTGTGGCTCTAGCAGGCTCGTGCGAGTGATGTCTCAGGGATTCCTTCAGCTTTGATGTTTTTGTTGTCATACCTGATTCTTTTCAGACATTAGGAAGTCCAATTTTCCTCCAGGGAGCCCCAGTTCTATGAAAGTCTTTACCAGCCGGAGATCTGCACTGTTCCCTAAAAACGACAGATAACCGCACCTCAGGTCCAGAGTTAGTCACAGAAAAGCTGAGGCACAAGGGATCTTTCTCCTTCCCCCATTCTCATTTTTTAACCAGATAACAGAAGCAACAAAAACAAGCCCACACCTCCCCTCCCTTTCTGTCCCCAATATGCACACAGAGTCTAATCCTTTCCAGTGGTCCTACCCCAGTAGAATTCCTCCCTGGTCTATCACACAGGGCCTGTGAACATTCCACACACAAGAACAGCTGAAGGCCCATGACCTCCCCTTTCTTCCTCAGTTAATTGTTTGCCCAAAACATTCTGCGGAGCCCTGGTGGTGCAGTGATGAAGAGCTACGGCTGCTAACCAAAAGGTTGGCAGTCCCAATCCACCATCTGCTCCCTGGAAACTCTACGGGGCAGCTCTACTTGGTCCTATAGGGTTGCTATGAGTCAGAATCTATTCAACAGCAATGGTTTTTTTTTTTTTTGGTTTAAAACATTTTGCAAATGGTGCCACCTAATGGCTGATGTGGAATAATCTGTAAATTACAACTCTCAACTCTCTTGCTGAATACAAAGGCTACCTACCCAGTTCTGCCCACTTAGAGATAATCAGCATGTCCCCAACACAGGCCGATCAGGACCTACTTGTCTACAATGGAATAAAAGTTGTCTTTGGAAACAGGCATCTTGAACAAATTCTAAGAATGTGAGGCTGCTGCTAATCGCAGAGACATAAAGAACATAGGAATGAATTTCTGAAATAACACAAATCAGAAGGATCCTATAAAACTCTGAGGAGTTCAGACATATGTGCCTTGAACTAGAGAAGGAAACTCCGAAAGAAACCTGTGTTTGGCATCAGTTGTTTTCTTGATGACTTGTGGCCAGGTGAGAACTTTTTAATTGACAGCTCAGTTTTCTGAACAGTAAAAATATGGGCGAAACTTCTCTACTTTAGAACATTTCTCTTCTTGTGTGCACGATGGGAAAAAAGTAAAAGGCTATGGCCTGACCAGATTTCTTCTTTCAACAAAGAGACTGAGAGTCTTATTTCATTTAATATCATCTAGGTGAGAGCTGGTGTTGGCAAAGAATACTGAATATACCATGGACTACCAGAAGAACGAACACATCCATCTTGGAAGAAGTACAGCCAGAATGATCCTTAGAAGCAAGGATGGCAAGACTTCATCTCACATACTTTGGACATGTTATCAGGAGGGATTAGTCCCTGGAGAAGGACATCATGCTTGGTAAAGTAGAAGGTCAGCGAGAAAGAGGAAGACCCTCAACAAGAAGGACTGACACAGTGTCTGCGACAATGGGCTCAAGTATAACAACGATCGTGAGGATGGCACAGGACTGGGCGGTGTTTCATTCTGTTGTACACAGGGTCACTATGAGACAGAACCGACTCGATGACACCTAACAACAACCACCAGTGAGAGCTGCATATGGTCACTTGTGACATGGTGCTTGTCCACAGATCCTCATGAAGATGCATTGAGCTGGTGACTGAGAAAGTTACTCTTTTTCTTTATCGAAATCCTTCTGTTTGGAAGGTCCAGTTAAAAACTAATGTGTCTTCATTAGTTTATTCCTTTTTAAGAGAGAGAGCAAGTCCCAAGCTTGGAGCCTTCTGACAACAGGACTATCCAAACTTCAGTAAAATTATTTTCCTTTCATTGTGTTTATTTTCATTATTACCTTTTCCGCGTGGCAAGTGATTCTGGCTATTTCATTTATGGTAGTCCTTTAAAGTTTCTCTTTTAAATAAACATGTTCTCTTTTAAATAACATATGTGCTGATATATGCTAAGCACCTACAATGGTGTTTGGCCCACATTAAGTGATATATAAGTTCCGACTCTCCTACTCCTTCTCCTTGTCCTCCTCCTCATTATCTAGAAAGTATTATCTACAACTGGATTGTTCAACACTTCCCCAAACAGACCCACTGACTAAGCGTCCTTGCATCAAATGCAGACAACTGAAGCACACAATTACATGCACTGGCCCAGGAGAGAGAAGGATTAAAGACATCAAGCAGAGTGCATCATGGAAGCCTAGCACACCACCATGCCTGATTTAATGATCATGAGAAGAAAGTGACCCCAAGTTTTGCCACTTCTCACTTGTGAGGCCTTGGACAAGTCCTTTCATCTCTCTAATCCTTTATTATTACATTAGAGTTCATATAAAATGGATGTCAAGATTCCTTCATGAAGACACATTCTGCATCCCAATTTTCAGATCAATTGTGATTGAAATAGAGCTTGAGGACCAGAACTAAAATTCCCGGTGCTCCCGATTCATCTCATGGCTATGTTCACCGAGTCAAGGAGAGACTGAACTCCATTAGGGAACTAGAGGCCGAATGCTTTCCTTTTTGTCCAGGCTGAGCTGGGACCTGAAGACGTTTAGGCAAAGTGTTGGGACTGGCCCAGGAAAATTCTAAAGAAACTTCATACCTGGAGGTCTTTTTGGGGGGTGGGAGAGGGGGGAGTCACTTCCCTCTTCCAGCCTCTCTTCCCCATGGCCTCTTCACCTGTATTAGATTGTTTTTTTTGGTAACAAACTCACACTTCTCTCTCTGCTGAATGCACTAAATTGAGAACTTTTCAAGATCAGAAACCATGTCTGATCTCTACATTCCCAGGACTTGGTACAGTACCTGGCATATAAAACGTGCCCCATAAATGAGAGGTGAATAAAAACAGGAAACAAAGTAGTCTGAGCCACTAACCTGAGTTCCCCATAAGTCCGCATATACATTCTACTCCTTTCTTTTCTTTACTCATATGATTCTACTGATTCTGGCACTTCCAATTAGTCGTGTGTTCCATTCATATTTTCATTCCAATTCCATCCCATTAATACTTTCATCCATTCACTCATCCATTCACGCAACCCTTCTTTTATTTCATTCATTCATTTAGCCATTAATTATTCATTCCATTCCTTCCTTCATTTATTCAGCCATTAATTATTCATTCCATTCATTCATTCTACTTATTTATTTATTCAATTCATTATTTCATCCCATTCATTCACTCGGTTATGTATTTCATTTAATCAGCAATTTTTTGCACATGCCAGAAAGATATTTTCTTTGGGCGCAATGCCACATATGTCTCTAGATCCAGCATAATCACTGTCATTCCAGAGAAGCTAACTGAACGTTTGTTTAATGGATATGTGATGTAAATGAATTCATCAATACTAAAAATTTTATGCAACACAGAATCTTGAGGAAGAAACACGTCCCAGAACTCACCATCCAGGCCGTGGACACAGACAACCAGGTGAATCCCGTCTTCCAAATTTTCTTCCTCTTCCTCTGGTGGGAAATATGGTACATCAGAAGCTAGTACAGATAAGTCACTGTACAGAAATCCTCCAATCTTCAGTTCTCTTTTAAATTTTTCTTTGGCCTGATAGAAACTGGAGAATACACTAATTAATCACAAGCCACTCTGTGTATTCCATGTTGAACAGGAAATGAGTCGGGCTGATATGCGGGAGTAATGCAGATCTGCAAGAGAAGTATCTGCCCAACAGCAAAGGCTGATTATGAGACCTCAGGGGAGAGGCTGGTGGGGGGAAATGAGGCTGAAAAGCAGTCCCTCAAAAACCAAAGACTCTTCTGGTTTTGGTTCTGCTGTAGATTTTTTTGTGGTTCCTGCACTGAGTAGGAGACTGCCTTTGTCTGTTTACCTGGAATGCCTTCCCCACCTGGCTACACTATACCACCCTCTAGCTCCAAGGATCCATACAATCTTTCAGAAGATCCTCCCAGAGTTAAAGCTTAACCTGGTGCACACAGGGCCACCAGCTTGGCCTCCACCTGCTTCTCCAGCATCACCCCCAGCCACTCCCAGCCTTTGGAAACAACACTCTTCTTACAGAGAAAAGCCTGTGAAAGCCAGAAGTGTAAGGTGGAAACCTATCAGAGAAGGAACACTGAAATATTTTCCACAAAAATGAGAAAGAGAAAGGTGGGAAGACTGTACTCTGTCAAAGGTGGAAAACTTGCGAGACCCAGAAAAACAAGGCGGTCCCATCCAGTTCTGGCTCTCACAGGTTTCACTAATTCCCTGCCTGAACCACATCATCTGGCTTTGCCTCCATGCCTTTGTCTGTTTGCCTGGAATGCCCTTCCCACCTGGCTACACTACACCACTCTACCTGGTTACCTGGCAAGGTGGTGGTGAAGAGCTTGGACTCAGGAGTCAGACTCCCAAGGTTACAATCCCAGCTTTGACACTTACAAACTGGACAAATCGCTTAGTCTCTCTGTGCTGAGTTTCTCCTCGTTTGTAAAAGCAGAATAGCATCTTTACCTAATTCATAAAGTTATTTTGTTCATCAGGCGATATAATGTATGTAAAATGCCTAATACAGTAGTTGAAATACAGCAAACAGTAAAAAATATCTCTTATCGGTCATATCCTGATCGTCATAGTTGTCTATTTTACCCTCAACCCAGGTGGCAATTTCTCTATGAAGCTTCTCCTAGCCTCCAGACAAATTAGGTCCATCTCTTCCTGGTTCCATTATGCACATATGAATCATCATACTTACCCAATAATTGTCCTCATTTACATCTCTCATCTGTCTTCCTGTTAGACTATCAGTGCAATAATGGCCAGGGCAACACTAACCAGGACTTGGACAGTGCCTGGTATGTATTTTGTTGAATTGGTAAGTGTCATATAATACGTATTTACTAGTCTTTATAAAACAAAAGGTCCTTATGCAGTCAATTGGCCTAATATCATTTTTAGAGTTTCTGCTTTACCTCCTAGTTCAGTGAGTGGCGCCTGGAGTTTTAAAAGTTTGTTGTCCAAGACACAACAATTGGTCTCCATTTGCCTGGAGCAACTGAGGAAGAAGGAGACCCAGGAAATGGAGAAGAAAATGGTCTGCAGGTCTAATAGCCTCCATGAACTACTACCTCCATTGCCATGAGACCAGAAGAAATACATGGTGCCCAGCTACAATTACTGAACGTTTTGATCAGGGACCCAGTAGGTGGCTCTTGATCAAAAGGGGTAAAATTGTTGAATGGAACATAAAATTCTTATTGGAAACCAGACTTACTAGATACATTGAGAGTGGAGGAACCCCTGAATCTATTGCCTGGAAACAACTTTTAAGCCTTGAACCAATACGATTCCATGAAGTCATCTTTAAACTAAACAACAGTTTAGCTCAATTAATAAAGAATGTTTGCCTTGAGCATTGCACCCTTTTAAAGAAGTGTCTATACAAGATCACACTGACAACAGTAACTCTAAAATACAGATGAGAACTTTAAAGGGCAGACAGTCGTAAGTTAACAGCGGTGAATCAATATGGGCAGAGGTAGTGAGAATGGCGACACAATGCGAAGGATGTAACCATTCTCAATGAATTGTACATGGAGAAATTGTTGAATGGCTGTTATGTTTTGTTGTGTATATTTTCAGCAAAAAGAAGTCCAAAGTTTACCTGCCTATGCAACTTCTTTGGGGAATATCACAAATACGTTTAACTCTTCAGCAATTTTCTATAGAGTGAATGCAATTGAATACTTTGGTAAAATGATTCTCTAATATTATTTCAGCACATTTACAGTTTATAGTTGGAGGAGTAATATGAATACAAACCCAGCCCAAGGATGCAGGTTGGGTTTCTGGCATTGCAAAAGGAACAGCAAACTTAAGAACCCACAATCCTAAAGAGGGCCTAAGAGGCAAATCTGATGAAGAAGCCCTACTACCTCAAAGGCCCTTAAAAACTGCCACCTCCAAGGGTGCAAAGATAGACGTACAATGATATTCATAAGACAGTTGTTTATAATAAAAACTGAACAGAATTTAAATGCCCATTTCTGAAGGATTTAATAAACGACGTGGCATCTATAAAATGGAACACCATTTAAACATTAAAGTTATGATGAAAAATAGATTTATAAACATAAAAAGATATTTCTGATATAAAATTGAAAAATATATTTTGTACAGAATGATCCCATTTTTTCATAAAAAGCACATCTAGATACAGACGCACATAGAAAAAAAGTGTGGAATAATGTACACAGTGGTTATCTTTGGGAGGTAAGATTATTGATAGCTTTTACTTCTTTATACTTTTCTGCATTTTCTTGTTTTTACAGTATGTATTTGTTATTTTATTTAAAACAGAAAATAGCAGTGATTTCAATTTTGAAATAATTTTTCACGGAATTGAGAAATATGTGGAAAAACATAAAAGACTGAGCTGGGACAGACAAGCCACCAGCAAACTTACCTAAACATTCTTTCACTGATTTCTCCCTCCAACCTGCTGGCATGTGTGGAAACAACTCCAAAGGAGCCCAGGGGTTGATGAGTGATGGGGAATGGGGTCTGCTTGGAGGAGAATCCAGCCCTGGAAGGGGTCTCCTTGAGCACAGATGAGAAAGGGAGACAGGTGGCAGTGCAAGACACAGATAAGTTAACCACCTCCACAGCCTTCAGGCTGTCCAGGGGAAAGGTCTCTGGAGCGTTCAGTGGGGACCCCATGATGGAAGTGCCTGCTTTCAGTTCTTCGTTTTCAGATTCTTGGAAATGGGTGGAGTGAGTCACAGTGGCGCACATGGTGCCTGCTTTACGTTCAGTCTCGGGTGAAGCATTAGCTCCTCTAGTAAACATTGTGTCGTCAGTGATGCATGGTAAGCCACTTGGCTCCCCTTTTGGATCCAGGTCAATGGCACCAATGCCTGATGCACGGCTCCATCCAGGCACCTTATGGTGGACAATATCCTCAACATCTGAGATGCTGCTGTCGGAAAGAGCTCTTTCCTCAACATTCAAGTCTTTAGGCATGCCCTTTGGGGTCTCCAATAGTGTTCTATGGAAAGATCTGTCCCTAGGTTTTTCAAGTGCTATGATGTGTGGTATTTTTAAATTAAGACCTTTGGTATCAACATCTGGGGGGTTCTCAGTTCTACCATCAAGACTACAGTGTCCTTGAGGATCAAACTGACTCTCTTTACCTTTTGGGATGTCTATGTAACCAGGGTCCTGATGGTCACTAGTATCTAAAACTATCTCCACAAGGGAATGGTCTACCTCAGCATCATGGGTTCTAGAGCCACCACAAAGTTGGGAGCAGTTTTCCGGGGAATATATGCTCTTGGTGTGCATATCCGAAGCTTCAGCAAGTCCTCCGCCTTGCTGCATAGTGTCCGTGTCTTCAGCAGACTCCTCCGGGCTACTGATTTGGGGTGCGGATACCGACTTGGTCAACTTGGTAAGTGCCAACTCCCGTTCCTCCTCCTCAAAGGGCAAAGAGCTGATGGAGGTGAGAGACGCCTGGATGCCACTGGGCAAACTCGTGTTGCTCTCTGTGTGTCCACCCTCCAGGGAGTTCCTGTGGAGGGCATGTCTTCGAACTAGCTGGTGTAAGACTTCCCGATCACTGGGCAAATCCAGGGCCCTGCTGCGGGCATCAGACCAGGCGACAGAGCTTGGTTCACTCTCAATGCCCGAGTCAGATATGACAGACGAAGATCTCTTGATGACCCGAGAAAGTACTAACACTTCCTCCTGCTCCTCTATGTGAGGGTCCTTTAGGGAAGACCTAATGTCCAAGGGGTCCCTCAGAATAGAACTTAGTGGATCACAGGTCTCAGAGGGGATGGGTTTCAGACTTAGCAGCACCATCTTACCCTCTTGTTCTACTCTCTTTCCAAGAGGACTTAATTCATGGAGTGTTGTCTTTTCAGAAGAGATGGCATTTTGACGGCTTCCACCTGCTGCCATTTTGCTTAGCACAGTTCTGTCTAATTCATAGCTATCGCCCAAAGTCTCAGTCTCACGATGAGCACTAATCACCACCATGGGTTCCACCACGATGGGTTCCACCACCATGGGTTCAGCTCTGCAAGGATTCTTATTGCTCGATTTCACATCAATGTAGGTCAGCGCTGGGACCTGCCCGTCCTCTGGACCCAGACTCTTTATGGGCGTGTCCATATCTGCCAGTGGATGTGTTCCAACTTCAGACCTTTGGCCAGTCCAACATTCTTCTTCAGACAGACCCGCTTTGTTCTGGAATTCACCAATTGTCAGATATACTTGCGATTCAGAGCACAGATCTGCATGATTTAATGTGGACTCATTCTCACCTGGATCTGGACCCCTAATAACCTCTTCATCAGAGTCCATGTGGGGTGGTTTCCTGGGGTCCAAGACAAGGTCTTCCGTGAAAGACGATTTGCTATTTACGTTATGGCTCTCTTCTCTGTCTTTTAGGTTCATTCTTGTGGGACTTGTCACTGGAACATCAAAATTAGGATAAACATTCAAGTAATGCCCTACAAAAATAAAAATAAAAAAAGAACAAGAAAAATGTTACACTTTAAGAAACTATGTTCACAAGTTATCCAAATGCCTAATGCAAAGTGGTCAAGTGATATCATTCTTGATTTACTTTTTACTTATTAAAGTCTTTCTAATGATTTCCACTTGTAAATATTAAACCATTTCTTCACCCATGTTATGCTCAGTGTTTACAGAGTAGAAAGAGAACTCTGGAGCTAGAAATGCCTGGCTTTGAATCCCGGTATTGCCATTGATCAGCCTGGGGACCCTGGACAATTATGAAATTGAAATAAGCTCTTTTCTATTGGAGTTCATTTTCCACAACTCTAGCATGGGCACATTCATAGCAACTAGTAGCTGCCTCACAGGTATAACTTATAGTAAAGTTAAGATATGAATGATGTTATACATAAGGAAAAAAGATTTCTGCTTTCTGTGGTGAAATGCTGCCAAGCATGAACTCTGTAACCAAGGGGATTATCCTAAGTGGCATTCCAATCACAAGGAGGTTCCCAGAATCACCTTGACCTTCACAGTTAGATGGGTTGGAGCTTAACTATGACCTTCCTTTTCTTTTTCATTTTTCTTTATGGTAAATCTCTCACTCACTCAATCACCTTGGGGTAGGTGTGTGTTGCGTGGGGGGGGAGGTGCTCATTACAGATTATATGTGGAATCTTCAGAATGTCTAGTATGTAGCAGGCATTCAAGCCGTGGTACTGTATCAGACCATGAACAGATGTCATTAATATCAAAATGGAACTCTTTTATCTCCTTTTTTTATCCCCCACTGTACTGATGGAAGGGAATGCAAATATATCTGATAACCTATGGGAAGGTATGGAAACTAAGGCAGCAAAGACCTTGAGGCATGGAGACGTAGCTCTTTATTTGCTAGTCCTTGTCCTCGGGTTAAAGAATCCTCAGATCATTGTGAAACAAGAAAAGCTTTGGGTTTGGGATGCAGATGGAGATAACTTGATCAAAGTAGTTTTGGAGATGGGGCTGATCAGGACAGAAGGTGTGGGGAGATGGCCCTGGAGAGACAGCCAGGCCTCTGAGAGTCACTGCTTTGTAGTTCTTCCAGGAAGATGGGACCATATGTGTTGGGGTTACCAGACTCAGCAGAGTCTCATGTCCCAAGCATGTTACAGAAACTGCAGAGAGATGCTGGTCCTGAAATTCTATGTGGCTATGGACAAGGCATGGCTTAGAGGAAATTTCCTGGGCAGATGGCCCTAGAAATACCTCCCCCAGCCATGTCTTGCTGCTGTTGAAGGCTCTGGGACATTGACATGAGAGGTGATGGAGGAGGGCTGGGGAAGTCAGCCCCAGAAAGCCTGAGGTTGACTTTCCTGCTAAAGCTGCAGGATGAGGAGGACTCGGAGCTGAAGTTGATTTAATTAAAAAAAAAAAAAAAAGAAGAAAAGTGCACTATTATTGTACACACACATCCGAAACCAAAAACTCATTGTCGTCAATTCGGCTGCAACTCATAACAACCCTACAGGACAGAACAGAACTGTCCCATAGGGTTTCCAAGGAGCAGCTGGTAGATTTGAACTGTCAACCTTTTGGTTAGCAGCCAAGCTCTTAACCATTGCACCACCAGGGCTCCTATGCATAGGAATAGGAAATGTATAATTTGATATTAGAGGATCTGATAATGAATGATTATTTAAATTTTTTTCTTTAACTCTTCAAATTTTCTGCAGTTAAATTATATGACTATTGTGGGTGTGAATTTTAGAATGTGAGGTGCTGACATACCTGAATTAGGTGACTTCAGACCTAAATAAAAACTCCATTCTAAATTAAACTAAGATTTTCATTTCTACTCTTGTAAAGAAACCATTCAGCCTTTTGTCAAAGTTTTACTGCTTGAAAAACAAATTATGCAGAAGTCAGAATTTCTAACCTCGAATAAGAATTTCCTGGTGCCTGTTAAGAATGTTTACACAACTGGCCTCAGAGAAGGCGCCTTGATCAACAGGAGATTAGAGAATAGGGCTGATAATGTTAAGTGAAGTTAGAACTTCTAAATAACTTTATAGCCAGATAGTATATGTCAAGCCTTAGTTCCATGTCCTGACTCCCAAATTAATTTTCACTCATTAGGATTTTCCTACTGTATTTCTGCTAGTTGTCTGTAAATTGGTAACTAGATAGAAACTTAGTTTGTTGAAATAAGTAGGCAGATTGCAGCTATAAAAGTCTTAACTGTCTGTAACACAAACAGTGCAGACATTCCAGCTTTAATTTATGTAAATATACTTACTATCTTAATTGCTTTCAGGGTATTCTCCCAGTGAATGCCTGGACTCTAACTCACTCCCTCTTAGCCAGATGGACGCTATGTACATTTCAAAAGGCTTCAGACTTAGAGCTGATTTAATCTTCACTCTTTCCTAACTAATGGTCGACTTTTCATTTCAAGGACTCCAACTAGGCTTGATTCAGCCTGCGATTCATCACTAAATCCCTATATCAAGAATGTTTATATGTCTCACTTTAGAAATATTGCCTTAGTCAACTTGTATCATGAGTAACAGATTTGTGTGAGGCTAGAAATTATTGTTAAGAAAGTTTGTACTTTAACAACTCCTTGTAAATTTCTTTCCTTTTCCTGAAACCTCTTTCATGTGAAACCATTTGCATTTGTTTACTCTGCCTGTTAAATACTCCGCTGTACTACCTGCAAGGCAGAACACACGCTGCGGTCTGTATTGAATGCCGTGTGTTTCTCCATTTTGCGAAATGAAATTATTCCTTCAATAAAAATTTTGTTTTAATTTCTATTAGCGCATTGATCTAGTGTTTACGCTAGGACATTTCAATGAAGATGAGCATATGTACATATGTAGACATATACACACACACATTCCACAAAAAAAAAGTGTCAATGTAGTTTTAAGTTTTAAGTTGGCTGGGCTGCCATTTCTAAGCTAGCACACATTTTAGCTGTTATACAATGTGTTGACACTAGATGTCAGAGTACAACCGAGAACCAAATAGCAGCATCTATCTGCAAGGTTGTGTTGTCCTTGAAAGTCACTTAGACTTTTAAAACATTCTACAAATCTCAAATTGCAGAAACTCTGACATTTAGCATTTTGACTCACCACGTAAATGATGCCCACTCACCCCATGTACAATGGTTTAAAACGTCCCACAAAGATGTGGCCAGGCAAAGCAGGGGCTTTGGTGTAACAGTGAGTTGGCTTTGAATGCTGCCTCGTATAAGCTGCATGATCTTGAATAAGTACTTATATACTCCTGTGCCTCAGTTTCTCATCTGTGAAATAGGGCTCATGAGATTGCTTACAGGATTGAAGAGACAAATCACATGAAACCTCTGGCACAGAACCTGGTATTTCCTGGCATTTATGAAGGATCACAGGAGTATCTGCAATCATTTATTTGAATGTCCATGCACAGGGCTGTAGAGAGAGCAGTGAGCTGACATTGCCCAGTATGCACCAGTCTCTCTCCAGTGAGCCTATCCATTAACAAACTCTGCGCAACACCAACCAACCAGACTGTCACTGGATTCATATATAAATATACAGTCAAACCTGTTATCATTTCTCCCTGAGATGAGTCATCCATCTATCCATTTATTTATTGAGCCTAGTTGCTCAACTATATTGCTTGACTCCTGGCATAAAATGGGCACTTCATGGGGGTTTGCACTGAATACCATTAAAATTCAGCTAGAAGTGACTTTGCGTGTGAATTGCACACTTGAGATAAGGAGGGATATTCATCTATCACATCCCTCTGGTGAGATGAGAATTTGGTTCCCAGTTTGTATGTGAACACACTGAGGCACTAGGTATAATTCCATCCAGAAGGATGGGGTGGGGTGGGGATCTTTACTATACTCACTGTTTTGTTTGATTGATATGTTAATTGCACTTCAATAAAGTCATTTCAAACAACTAGTTTAACCTTATAGGTTCTTGTACCGCCTCTATGAACTGATGGAATACTTCATTAATTTGGCTCCACTATGTGGTTGTTGGGATAGAAACAGGGCAACTGACTGGAACCCACTGACAAGCCTTTTTCTGGAGTCTTTCCAAAGAAAAGGCCCACCTGTGGCAGGGCAGTCCACGTAACGGTCCTCAAAGATCACAGGCAGGGTGTTCCAGTCACCATCGATGTCCAGGCACTCTGCAGGCAGTGGGGGCATGCTGGACAGGTACTCCGAGTTCCGGACATCCAGGGATAGCTGGCTGTGGGTCTGTATGCTGGGGGCACACAAAATCAGGTAAGCATCACAGGAAGGATTAAATGCTTAAAATTATTACAGTACCCCTCCAGTCCCAAGAAAATGCTCAGAAAATCTGTCCATCTCCATGCCCATCCATGTTTCCTCTCCTCCACCCATCTTCCTCAGCCCTCAAAGCCAGAATCTTCTTTGCATCCAAAACTGGTCTAGGTAATAAGGTTGCAGAGGACATGGATTGTATGCTTAGGTGAAGCACAAGGGCATAGCAAAGACCAAAGACATGAAACAATACAATCTGCCCCACTTCTCCCCAATCACCGGCACTTTTCATACCCCCTCATCTTACTTGATTTTTTCCACAATATCTATCACCTTCTAACATACATATAACATATACGTATAACTATAGTGCTTACTGCTTAGCATCTGTCTTCCTTCATGTGCTGTCTGTTTTGTTCCTTGATGTATCCCAGGTTCCTTGAACAATGCCTAGCATACAGTGGATCATCAATAAATACTAGGACAATGTATGGATGAATCAACACACTGTATGCAAGGAAGTGGGAGATGTTGCATAAGACCAGATCCTCAGAAGGTGGACTGAAGAATGGCTGCAGGGATTGACAACAAAGATCATTGGGGCTGGAGTGTGAAGTTCCTTGAGAACCTTGTTGAGTCTAGATGTCCTATGTGGTCAACAGTGGAACAGGGCAGGCCAGTAAGCCAAGAAATGCCACATCAAGTCTGAGTTTCATGAAGATAACTCTAACCAAAGAGTGAGTCTGAGTGTGTTTACATATGTGGTGTGTGTGTGTGTTGTTGCTTGTGCACATGTGTGATGCATGTTTTCATGAATCTAAGTGCGTGTGTTTGTGCGTGCTATGTGTGTACGTGTGTGGGTGTGCACGGATACATACATACGTGTGCATGCATGTGCATGTATGTGCATAAGCATGTGGTAGGGTGACTGTGGGGAAGAAAGGAGTACAGGAGAAAGGGGTCAATTAAGAGGCAAAAACAATATTTAAAGACAAAGATAACCTTAGATCTGGATTAAGGAAGCTGAAGTGAGGATGTGGAGGAGGAATTGGAGTCCAGTTCATTATTAGCAAAATTGGGAAAAAATCCTGATTTTTGGATGAACTCCCCAAGGCCCTGAATGATCCTCCACCCCTGCCATCTCTATGATTTAACTCCTCACATCCTTCCTTATACACTACCCCAGCCCCACTGGCTGTCTCCCTGACCCTGCAGGTTCTGCCCTGTGTACACGTGTATACATAAACAGAGATAGAGATACAGGTATGTTGTGGATGTTGTTAGGTGCTGTCAAATTGATTCCGACTTATAACAACCCCATGTAACAGAGTAGAACTGCCCCATAGGGTTTTCTAGGCTGTGAGCTTTATGGGACCAGATCACCAGGTCTCTCTCCTGCAGAGATTCTGGGTGGTTTCCAACTGCTAACCTCTTGATTAGCAGCTGAGTGATTAACCATTGCACCAAGGGCTCCTAGATATAGATATATAACTAATTAAATGATTATAAAATTCCATAATATTTAAAATAACTCTACAGGATAAATATTATGATCTCCTAGATAGCTGAAGTGCTCAATCTCTCACCAGCTTCAGGTCCCTGCTCAAATGTCACCTTCTCAGGGATGTCTTCCCTGACAATTCTAGTAACTAGCACTCTTTGTCCCTCTCACCCTGATATATCATCTTCCATAGCACTTTGTGGGGATATATGCCATTTAAACATGGCTGCACTATTGACAACTGCAGCCCCCACAGGCCTCTATGCTGCACAGCATGTTGAGACTTGTCCCCAACATGTTGAGACTTGTCACGATTTGTTTTCCCAAACCTACTGTCCCTTTACTGATTGGCTTGTTTACCTGAATTCCTTCTCCCTTGCCCACACCCAAAGCCCATTGTTTTGTTAATTGCTTTATTGCTTGCTGTACTGACTATAAAATAAACTGGGACTGAAGCGGGGTTCGACTCCTCAGAGTGAGCCTCCTGGCCCCACTTCTCTGTAAGAGTTGTGGCATGGTTACTGTCTCCGCCGCCCGCTGCGACAGCACTTATTATTATTTGGCATATCATATTTATTTGTTTTCTTTCCATCACTAGATATAAGGTCCATGAGATAGGGAATTTGTCTATGTTGTTCACTGCTGAAGATACAACATCCAAAATAGCATCTGGCACATAGTCGACAAAAAATAGATACTTGTTGAATGAATGAATCTCCCTGAGTTTCAGAAAAGAAACTGAAGCTCAGAGAGGTTCAGTAACTAGTTTGATGTCACTGGTATTAGAAGTACTAAAATATAGATTTCAAACCAAATATATGAGATTTGAAATGCCAAAATCTTTCCACCATACCAATTTTCCAGTAGAAAAAAATAGTAATAAATCATAATTATCATGTTTATCCTGGTCCACAAGGCCCCACATGACCCAGCCCCTGTCTACCCTCTGTCCCTACCTCCCACCCCTTCGCCGACTTGCTCACTCATGTAGCTACAGTTACCTTCTTGCGGCTCTTCAAACACTTTGAGTTCTCATATCAGGGTCTTTACACCTAACCAGTCTCCCCATAGCTTGATATAACCCCACTCTCTGTTTAAATGTCGTATCATCAAAAATACTTCTCTGATCACACTGGCTAAAACAACCTTTATCCCATACTCAACGCTGTGTTGGGGCCAGTTCATACTGGCTCACAGGAGTTGATTCTGCAGATGTCTTTTCAACTCTATGTTCAGTGATACCACATCGGTAGCTTGACATCAGCCATGGTGGGAGTATTTACACCAGGGAAATCAGAAAACACTACAAACCAGAGTTTTTTTTTGTTTTTCTTCTGCTTTTCTGAGAGTTGGTTAATACGAATCAAGACACTGGAAAACACGGACCAAGACACTGGAAAACACGGACCAAGACGCTGGAAAACACCGACCAAGACGCTGGAAAACACCGACCAAGACACTGGAAAACACGGACCAAGACGCTGGAAAACACGGACCAAGACGCTGGAAAACACCGACCAAGACGCTGGAAAACACTGATCAAGACACAGGCCACACCGTTTCTCTGCCTCTTCTACATCCTTACCTCACTTTACTCGCCTTCACTTGTCACAACCTGAAATGCTACAATTTATCTATGTCTTGCTTGTTTCTCCACTAGAATGAGTGGCCCACAGGGACAGAGTTGTGGCTCTCTTTGCTGTGGCGTCCCCAGTGTTTAAGTGCATCATAAACACCCGTTTGACTTCTCATCCTCATCTATCTTTTCTGAGCAAAAAGTCTGTGGTGGGTACTGAGTATACTAGGGTCCATACACGTCGATTGTCTCATTCAACCCTCAAAACTATTATCTTTCCTGTTTTATTGATATGGAAACTAAGACAAGGTGAGGTTTGAAAAAAGAAGGAAAAAAAAAACTTTCTCAGAGATACACTATAAGTAATTGAAAGACCAGAGTTTTAAACCCAGGCCATCCGAATACTCTGTCATCCTCACTTGGTACAAGTGGTTGGCATCCTACCACAGGTCTTCCGGGAGAGTTGTTGTTATGGGCAGTCGAGTTGATCTTGAGTCACAGCTTCCCCATGTGACAGAACAGAACTGCTCTATAGGGTTTCCTAGGCTGTAATCTTTACGGGAGTAGACTGCTGGGTCTTTCTCCTGTGAAGCCATTGGGTGGGTTTGAACTGCCAACCTTTCAGTTAGCAGCAGAGCGCTTAACTGTTGTGCCACCAGGGCTCCTTTCCAGGAGAGTAGTTTCTTGTACGTCTGTCACTCCCATGTATGCTAACGTTCCTTGAGAACACGACCATGGCCCAGCCATCTAAGCGTTGCCAATTTTTGTGGTGACCTTGGGAAGCAGATGTCATGCAGTAGTCCTGATTTGTAATATTTTGTTCAGTGGCCCTCAAAATCATATTTGGATTTGTCGGATTAGCTGTTCTGATTTTAGTTTTGGAAAATATCTTCAGCCAGTTATAGCTGGGGGCTGGAGTGAATGAACGCACAAGCGAGCCTTTGAGTGAGTGAAAGATATTTCTAGACAAGCTATTTTAACATGCAAATGTTTCTCCTCGGTGTCCCTCTCACTGTCAGAACCCATGAGGCACATCGTAAATGTCATTGTACTTTACGAACAGACTGAAGAGTAGGGAGAACATAAAGGCACAGAGATGACGGTGGAAGGATTTCTCAGTCTGTTTTGAGTGATGGATGAACCTCAAGTGATTCTCCTGCTGGATTTGCTGGGGCATCCAAGCCGATTCATCCACATACGTTTTGTGGGGTGGACCTACCACTCCGAAACACCACCCCCTTGGACCTGTGTGGCACAGGTAACAGCACCTGGGAAGAAGCTCTGCTCCTCGCCAGCAGGGAAGTCTATAGGAGAGAATGACCTCATCTTTCTGCAAGCCTCTGACTAACTGTCTTGAGTGCTTTAATTTTATCTGGAAGAAAGCCTCTCCACCCCACAAAAAAAAAAAAGGAATAAAAAATAAAAAATGCCACCGAGTCAATTCCAACTCACAGCGACCCTACAGGACAGAGCAGAGCTGCCCCATAGTGTTTCCAAGGCTGTAATCTTTATGGAAGGACACTGTCACATCTTTCTCCCCGGGAGTGGCTGGTGCGTTCAAACCACTGACCATCTGGTTAGCAGCCAAGTGCTTTCACCACCATGTCACCAGGGCTCCTTGGAAGAAGGTCAACTTAGAAATTCATCAATCCTCCTAATCAGGCATTTCAGGCTTAATTTTTAGGCGAAATGCATTTCTTAGCTGCCTACTGCAGAGTCCCAGGTCAGCTCTGTTTTTTTCTCATAGCTTGTGACCACACCACCTGCTTCTAATTTATTTTGCCCAGAGGGCTCAGCACAGCTGTCCTTAGGGACCGAGGAGTCTTGATTCTGGCCCACAGAGCCATAATAACACTCAACAATAGAAAGCTGTGGCTGTTGACCCTCTCCGCCCCCTGCCAGCACCAGCCTCTGCAGTTTGCCTGACTCTTGTGCCTGCAGAGGAAACGCAGATGGAGTGCACAGAAGCCGGTGGGCTTGTCTCCTACAGAACAAGCAACTTTGAAAGCTCTAGAACAGGCAAATGTACAGAGACCAAAGTTATATTAGTGGGTACCAGGGGCAGGAGGGAGGGGGAAAAGGGAGTCATTGTTTAGGAAGCAGTGAGCTTCTGTTTATGGTGAGGGGAAATCTGGCAATGATTACGGGTGATTGATATCATTGCTATCACTAGTTATACAGGTGAAAAACACCGAACTGGCAAATGTTATGTTTTATATATACATGTATCCAAACAAAAAAAATAAATACATAATCCATTGCCATTGAGTTGATTCCAACTCCCAGCATCCCTATAGGACAGAGTAGAACTGCCCCATAGGGTTTCCTAGGCTGTAAATCTTGACAGAAGCAGACTGCCACATCTTTCTCCCGTGAAGTGGCTAGTGGGTTTGAACCACTGACCTTTCGGTTTGCAGGCAAGCGCTTAACCACTGCACCACCAGGGCTC